AATCTGTACAGCAATTTTGGGAGTATGGCCATCTTCACAATGTTGGTTCTTCCTATCCAGGAGCATGGAATATCTTTCCATTTTCTGAAATCCTCTACTATCTCTTTTTTAAGAGTATTGTAATCTTCCTTGAAAAGATCTTGTACCTTTATTTTTAAATCACTATCTCCCCTGCAAAATCCTGTTTGAAAATGGGGAACATGTAACTTTCAGCTGTGAGAGTAGCTGGGCTAATCGAGCCTAAGCCATTTAAATAAAGCCTAAGCCATTTAAAATAAAGCCTAAGCCATTTAAAATCTTAGAGTAGCTTTGGATAAACATTTACTCAATTCTACCAGCAGCTTTCAAGTACCACAAGCATTTAAGCAATAATAGCTTAAATTTGCAAAGTGTAAAAATTCTGCAAGTAAAAACAAAACTTAGCTTTACTAGGATATAGCAGATATCAGTTATCATTTCCTGAAGTAATTTTTTAAAAATATGAAGTTTTGAACTTCTAGGCTGCTAAGACATAATTTCTGGTTTGGTTTACATACATTTACAACAATTTAATGTAACAGTCAAGCATACAAATTAATTTCATTACCAAGGAAGTGCTTATTCCACTGAGCCATCTCCCTGGCCTCTCAGAAATATTTTAAATATTCTAAATTTTGTGATACCTAAGCACAAGTTAACACCCAGACCAATATATGTGTAGAAAATCCTTACTAAACCTATACACATGAGTAACAATTTATACTAATTTATAGGTCATTCTTGAGTTAAATGCAAATTAGAAATGAAGCATCATTCCACTACAAGTCTACCCAGACAAAAAGTTTACTTGTTGATGATCATATATAGTTTTAAGATACTTATCAACACATTTAACCACTGATTAATACAACTAAATTTAAATTTTTTTCTTCAAACTTCATATTCTAGATACAAAAGTTTAAGAACCAGTAGTGTTTCAGAGTCAGTACTTCATTAATATTTCATTGTACATCAAGATAAATTAACAATGAATTAGTTCTGAAAAGGGCATGGCAGGTTACACCTGTAATCCTAGCACTCAGGAAGATGAGGCTGGAGGACCCTGGGAGTCTGAGGCCAGACAAGGCTACAAAGTGAGTTAAAGGCCAGTCTAAATTGCACAGGGAAACCCTGTGTCAAAAGGACAAAAACAAAAATAACAAAAGAATGACTTAGTTCTGAGTATCTGAAGGTGTAATACTTACTCTAATACTTCATAGTTGGACTTCTTCTCTAGTGCATTGCCCCGCATCTCCCAATATGATCGTCTAAAATTAGGGAAGATAAAAGTTTATGTTTACATTTAAGGAATACCTCTATTGTTAAATGATAAAAATTAAGGATTACTGTACAATAATTCAGAATTTTCTCACACTTCATTGAAGACTTTACTATTAATCTTACAAGGAAGAAAAAGTCCCTGGAAAGTTTTGAAAAATAACGAAAACCATTGATGAATAAAGACCCCTTCAGCGATGCGGCGGCGCCCCTCGCTGGGCCGCGGAGGCGGTGCGGAGGAGGCAGCAGCAGAGGGGCCGCCCGCCAGCGTGGCCATCTCGCGCCCACGGCAGGCCCGGAGCGCGGACCCCGTGGGCCGCGCGCAAGGGCTAGGGGGCCGGAAAGATGTTTAGCTTGGAGGGTGACTTCAAGACGTGGCCCAAGGTGTCCCTCGGCAGCGCGAGCAAGAAGAAAAGGCTTCTCTTTTACATCGCACTCAGGAAGAGAGAAGAAAGGCAATGATTGAAAAATGCAATACTTATCCAGTCATTTATTCGAGGCTACAGAGACAAAATAGCAATACTCCCTCCAGAGAAGCGCATTTGATCGCGGTGTCAGCGCGGCACAGCGGGGCGGCACCGTCTCCCTTGCCAGGGGTCCCAGCCTTACTGTCCTGGTGAGGCAGCTTCTGTTCTTCTATAAGCAGAGTGAGGACTCAAAGCGTCTGATATGGCTGTACCAGAACTTAATCAAACATAGCTCTGTGTTTGTCAAGCAGCTGGACCGATCTGAGACTGACGTGCCTGTTTCCGATCAAGAGGCTGATGGGCCTCTGCTGCAGGTTGCTGCAGAACTGTACTGACGACAGTTTGAATGTTGCTCTCCCAAAGCGGATGCTTGAGGTGTTTTCCTCTGAGAATACTTACCTGCCTGTCCTGCAGGATGCCAGCTACGTTGTGTCAATCACTGAACAAATATTGCACTACATGATTCACAGTGGGTATTATAGGTCTCTTTATTTGTTGATTAACAGCAAGCTTCCATCAAGTATTGAATATTCTGATTTGTCTCGAGTTCCTATAGCAAAAATTTTGTTGGAGAATGTCCTAAAACCACTGCACTTTACGTACAGCTCCTGTTTAGAAGGTGCAAGGCAGCAAGTTTTCTCAGCCTTCACAGAAGAGTTTCTGGCAGCGCCTTTCACAGAGCAGCTCCTTCACTTCGTCATTCCAGCATTAGCAGATGTACAGACCACTTTCCCTTACGCACCCTTTCTGAATGCACTGTTGTTACTAGAGAGTACATGTTCAAACAGGAGTGCTGGAGCACCATGGCTTTTCTATTTTGTTTTAACTGTTGGCGAAAATCATTTGGGAACACTCGCGGAGGAGGGACTGCTGTCTACCTGCACGTGCTCCAGACCTTCCTCTTGCAGCTGCCTGTGACACCTGCTGGCCACGACACTTCCAGTGACTCCGAGGATGAGAGTGAGGAGGCCAGCCAGCCTACCACTCCAGTAAACACCATCTGCTGCCATGGCTGCTCCTGGGCGCTTTTCTAGTTATGTTCTGGTTTGGGTTAGGGCGTATCTTGTGATAAGACACTGATTTGAATCCCAAGTACACTTTGGAGTGGTTCCATTTCCAGGTGAGTCACGTTTTCAGGGTGTCAGGAGGTACAGGGTGAGCGAGTACTACGCTTACAATGCAGACAGCTGCTCAGTGTGCCTGGAGCCAGAGTGAGCCAGAATAAACAAGAACAGGGTCCCTGTGGGCATGAGGGGCGCGCCTGAAAACGTCCTGCTGGGTGCTGGAACTGTCACATCTGCCACCACACAGAGCTGGACAGACTCAGGGCTGTACCGCTGTAATCCTAGCTACTCTGGAGGCTGAAGCAGGAGGAGCACAGGTCGAAAGCCAATTTGGGCGACTTGCCAAGACCCTGGAAACACGGGTGAGTGGGATAGCACCTGCCTAGGATGCACAGTTCAGTCCCTAGAACTACAAAAAAAAAACCCCAAAACTCAGAACTATATGACCAAAAAAAAGTATGAATTTTGTTGTGTGTCCAGAACAACGTATTTTTGTAGCTGAAATACAGATAAAATTTGTCTGTAGAGGAAAGTTCATATTTGAACAATTATCTTCTAGAGAATCTGTAAAAGTAAAAAATTATTTTTCTACAGTGTGCTTGGTGTCCACATACTGCTGAGGGTGTAGGCTTTGTCAGGTAGGGAGTGACAGGCTTTCCTTGAGGGTATCCCCAGGGCAGCAGGCATGCAGGCTCCTACACAGAAGCACCAGGCAAGGCTTAGCTGGGCTGTGGCAGAGCCCCAGCTCAGCACACGAGAGGCCCTGCACTTCCCGTTGCCCAGATGAACGAGAGATCTCATCATTGGTTGTGCCAAGTGTCACTCTACTGGATTTTTTTAAAAAAATAGGTACAAGCTTTGAGGTCTACTTCTGTCCAGCTCTAGTTCTCTTTTCAAACTTCTTTATGTTTCCTTGGCCTTGGGGGTTGTCCTTTTGCTCCTGCCTGCCTTGAGTTGAGAAGCCGTATGGTCAAGTTGTGAACTGGGAATCATTTCTGGCTCTGTCCTTTATGTGCATGTTTATATGCTGCTTTTCTGTCCAGTGATTCTCATCCTGCAGAATTTTATTTGGTTGTGTAACGTTTTCAGATTCAGAGTTTACCCTTTATAATAAAGTTTTGTTTCACGGCTAAATAAAGACTCCTTTGTACTGCTCCTACCTACCGTATTTCAAGACAACCCAACTTCAGAGCAATTTCCTGGTCCACTTGATCAGCTATCTCTAACATGTAGTCACTCTTCACCTGTAATAAGAGGAACAGAAAACTGCTATTTTTTAAAGGAATATATCTTTAATGTATTCAAAAGTGTTTACCATAGTCTACATATTATTTACACTTCATTAATAGCTCTGCTTTATTCTTAGTTTTATTTCCAAAATCTAGTACCTAACCATCCATTTATTTGATTAATCTACAGACTAGGGACTGGACAATAGCTTGGTGGTCTAAGCGTGTGCCTGGCAGGTGCAAGGACCTGGGTTCAATCCCCGATACTACATGTGATGCCAGCCAGAGAACCCTAGGTATGCCGTGCCGGTCACTGAATCAGCATGGTGGTAAAGGGGAGGCTGAGACAGGAGGATCACTATGAATCTGAGCTGTGTAGTGAGTCCCTGTACTACATAAATAAATAAATATTTAAAAATATACAGACCAATAATAGCTTCAAGGCTAATATAAAGAAGTTAACCAGAAATGATTCCTATAAACATATTCAATCAAAAGTGTTAATGGACTGACAGGAGCATCTGTGAACAATTGATAACACAAAGGCACTTTCTTTCTTTTTGGTGGAACCAGGGATTGAACTCAGGCCCTTGTGCTTGCCAGTGAAGCGCTTATTCTACTGAGCCATCTTCCTGGCCTATGTACTTCAAAGTTTAAATACGGACATTTTCCTTATATATTACCATTAAGAGATCAACATCTGTGATTGACTTATGAGGACAAGGAGCACTCATTCTGTCAACTTCAAGTAAAATGTTATCTGCATCTTCCACGGAACATCTGTTTTATCAAAAACAACACTCAACAACATTATGAATTTCATAAACACAAAAATTTGTGGAAATTTGTTTTATCTCTTATTGTATAACTACTTTTATAATAACTTCAGTTGTGCCCCTTGGTCCTCAAAGTCTAATTAATTACTCTGGCTCTTTAAAAAATTTATATTGTACCAACCATCTTTTTGTCATACTTGCTGTTGAGCTACTGGAGAAATACAAAATAAATTTCACCAAAACAAAACAAAAATTTCACGTTAAGTTCTTGATAACAAACCTTAAACAAACAACTAAAATTATGTGGAAATTTAACAACGGTCACCTAGTAAGATCTTATGTACAGCAATCTCATACTTTATCTAGTTACTGTCTTTGTCACAGAGAGAAGACAGATGGGAATTCTCTCTTTAACCTACCAGGAACTTGGAATTTCACTTGCACATGCACCCATCTATCAATTTCTCTTTTTCTTGTTCTTCTTTACCTTTTATTTTATTTATTTATTTATTTATTTATTGCAGGACTGGGGATTGAACTCAGGACGCTGCGCTTGCCAGGCAAGTGCTTATTCTATCGAGCTATCTCCCCAGCTCCTTCTTTACTGTTTAGTAGTACAGGAAATTGAACTTACAGCCTTTACCACAGGACTTCATCCCTAGGCCTTTTTTCCTTTCTAAATTTGAGCCAAAGTCTCACTACACTGTCCAGTGCTCAACTTAAAATCCTCCCACTTCAGCCTTGCAGACTCCTGGGATAAGAGGTATGTGCCACCACATCCAGCACCATTCCTTTCTCTTATGGCAAGAAAAAATATCCTCTATCCAGCAATGAACCACGTGTGGTATTTCTGGTCTAAATGCGACTTCCTCACAAAAACTTTGTTTAAATTCCGTATATCCCTGTAATGCCAGCATAGAGTAGTGGAGGATGCCTGCAATGTGAGCACTCTGTGTGGGTAAGGAAAAATGCATATTTGAGACCAGCTTGGTTAACTTAGCAAAAGCTTGTCCTAAAATTTTAACAAAGGGATGCAGCTCAGTGTGAAGGCCCTTCATTAACATCTAAAACCTATGTAGTAAGTATCTACTGAATGAATAAGCAGGCAAATGAATAGTCTCACACTGGGGTTTAAGTATCTGTGATAATTGTTAATTCCTACAGATGAGATTTACAAGCAATAATGGTTTTTATGCTTGACACATAATAGGCACTTAAAATTATATGAAACTGAAGCATTCACTCTACTAAGTCAAGTAAAACCTTTATTTCTAGAGTCATTTTATTTATACTGGTTCTTTCTTTTATAAAACAAAAGGCCCAATTTTTAAAACTCAGTTTTTGTTATTTATGGTCAACTGTTTTCTTACTGACACAAAATGTAAGCCCAAAGAAATAGGAATTTGCAGAGAGCACAAGAAACACAGAGCGCAAGAGCTCCTCAGTGGCTCTTAAGACACTTGGTGCAGACTCCAGAGGGGCTACATAGACCCACAGTGATAAGTTGATGAGGATGACTCTCACAAAACTGCCTAGAAGATTTTAGTCACTATAATTTCTAAATACTTTTCACAGGTGGAAAATATGATCCAGTGCTATATTTCATTCATCAAGCCACATGAGTATGATTTGCAAAAATGAAATAATGGTTGGTAATTTAACAACTATTAAGGAAAATCTAGCTTCTGAGCATGACTTCAAATTTCTACAAGATGTTCCTCTTTAAATTTGTATTAGTACATGCTTGGCATATATAATGATTTCATCTACCATGGCGAGTTAGTATGTGTACATAACACATCTTAATTTTTTTTATCTCCCCTCCCCCTTCCCATATGCAAACATCTGTCTCTTTCACATTCTCTTTTATTTTGCTTTTTATTTATATTTTGGATCTCACATATAAGAGAAATCATGTGATATTTCAGCTTATGTGACTGAAATATTTCACTTAATATAACATTTTGCTTAATGAATGATTTTATATATGACAGCGGTCCTGTAAGATTATCAATTGGTGGAGCTGTTCCTATTAAGAACAGTTACGTGAGGTTTGCACAGTGACAAAAATGTACCTCAGATGCATTTTTTCAGAACATACACATGCTATTAAACAGTGCATGGCTCTATTAACACTTTCAAGCATATACATGAATATGTATTTTCAAATATACATACCATGTTAAACTGACTTATGTGTATCATCTCATTTTTTTTAAAAAAATGTATTTAGCACAGGGTCTATAGGGTCTCACTACACAGATCGGACTTGTAGTGATCCTCCTGTTTTCAGCCTCCCAAGCACTGGGATTACAGGTGAGTGCTACCACACCCAGTCTCATTTGCCTTCTCAGCACACCCTGGGGGCAAGGCTGGCACGGCACACAGGGCATTGAACCCCACTCCCTGTGTCTGCCTTAGCAGGTGCTTTAGTCCATGTATCATCGCATTTAATCTTCTCACCACCATGAGGGAGAACTATTGTTATTCTGCTTACAGTCTCAGAAAAGCCTAAAGAAACCAATTAAGAACTGTTTTAAGAAAGCATGTTCCTGAGGTGTAATTAGATCATTTAACTCGTGAGTTTTTGAAGAATCATTTAAGTCCTGTTCTTTAATTATTGTTTTTTTTTAAATCACAGGGTACTTTACAAACACATACATTGAAAGTTGTGTAATATTTTTGTTTGCATTTGTCTCATCTTAAGAGAGCAAAACCTATACTGTGTTTTAAGATGCCTAATCTAAAAACAGCAGCAGATTCAACTCTTCTAATATGTGAATGTTTTCATTTTTATTATGAAATATATCAATATTGAAAGGTATAGCAAATAATATAATGGATATCTGTAACACCAACAGATTTAAGAATGTTAACATTATGCTATATTATTTCAAATATTTTTGTAATATTGAACATTAGTGATACATTTAAAAGTCCCTCTTGTATCCATCCTATTCTACCAATTCTCAATTCTCCACAAAGGTAACCCTAATTGGAAGTTGATGTTTATTCTTTTTGTACATGGTTTTACATCTTTTTCTGCTTATGTATGTATTCATAAACAATGTGTGGTCTTTTATGTTTAAAGCTTTACACAACTGCTGTCCTCTTAATGTGTATTCTACAACTTGGATTTTTCACTAACTTTAAAGATGTATTCACATTACTGATGTAGATCTTTTTTTTTTTTTTTTTAAACTACGTTGTATTCCAATGTGTATACACCTATTGGATATTTGGACTATTTCTATTTTGTATGTGGTATATAAAGTAAATATGGCAGAGATTTTAGAAGAAAAGTTATTTTAGGATTATATTTGTAACATGAAGCTTACTTCAAGGTCTATGATAATATGAATGACACAAAATAAACACTTTACAATTGAAGGAATAAAATTGTGTCTATTTTGGACAGCTAAAAAAAAAAAGAAAGAAAGAAAGAAAGAAAGAAGAACTTTTTTTTAATTTAACATGTACTTACATGGAACCAGGTATCTGCTACACTGAGGGTTTTTTGGTTTTTTTTTTTTTTTTTTTTTGTGGTACTGGGGATTGAATACACTAAGTATTTTATACACATCATTCCTAATCTTGATAATAACTCAAGGTAGGTCTCAAGGTAGGGTTAATATTATGGTAGTAATTCATACATAAAAATCAGAAAACTTAACTGCTGGGCATGGTGTCACGTGCCTGTAACCCCAGCACTTGAGAGGCTGAGGTTAAGAAGATCACCTGTGAGTTTCATGTCAGCCTGGGAGACAAAATGAATTCAACTGCAAAGTGAAATCCTGTCTCCAAAAAAACCAAATTAAAAAAAATTTAAATTAAAATAAAAATCACAAAACTTCCATTTTTTAAAATCAAAGAATGAATTATTTTTTTTTGGCCAGCTCAGCCCACCCTAGGGGTGGGGCTAGTGAGGCATGTGGTGCTGGGGATCGAACCACAGTGCCTAAGCAGGTGCTTTAGACCACTGAGCTATCTTGCCGGCCCAAAACTCCCACTTTCATAGGGTCACATATACAAATGTTAATGACAGGATTCAAAATTCAGATTTAGCAGTTTTTAAGAATCAGGCTCCAGTTTGTACCCTACAGCTTCTCATGAATGTTCACAGTGCAAATATTTACTACCAAAGTAGAACATACCTTCTCTATGCTTGTATGCTTGTTATGTAATACAATAGCTTTACATGCATCTCTTGGCTTGTTTATCACTATCACTGCATTTTTC